GACAAGCCTACAGGTAGGAAATGTGACCTCCGGGATCAAATGAATGGATTTTAAAATACGTTGCCCTACTTTGTCTGACTGGCTTTTGTCTAACAGTCCAACAGAAACAGCTCAATGTCATATCTTACAGCTAAGCCTCTAAAATATCAGTGAGTATCACATTTCTATTTCGCACACAATTTTTGAAAATATTTTTTAAAGATGATGCAAAATGTTTTTAGGAGCATGTAAGGATGTAGACACAAGAAAAACTCGCCTGCTGTAATTCTTTTAGGGTATGCTGAAAATAACTAAAGCTTGCACACAGACGGCTTCAAAGCAAAGCCTTGGAAAGAGCCTGTCTCAGACAGAACATGCTCTAACTGAAGCCACTCTGTAAAATGTAAGATTTCAAATGTAAAAAATGTAATGTGTCATAAAGAAAATTGTGTTTGATGACATTTTTGTAGTTAAAAGTCTTGTCTGAAATTAAAACTAAACTACAACTCAAGTAAAATCTAATATTTCGAGCTTCACAAATTCTGATAATATTTTGACCAACTTCAATTCTAGAAAGAAAAATCCTGCATGGCACTTATCTGAATTCCCTGGAGATGTTTTATCATCAGTGGTACTTTAAATGCTGTATATTATATATCTTGTATCTTATAGGAACATGTTGCTTGTCAGGACACCTTTACAAAATATTAGCAATGTGGTTTAGCAACAAAATGTCTATATATTCTACATGTCCATCACTTCACATCCCCGTAAGCTACAAGATGTTAGAGACACTGTCAAAGGTTCATCCTCTTTGGAACTGTTCATATGTTTCCTGTTAGCAAAACGTTATTGTGCCCATAACAAAACCTCTCAACCGAGATGTGCTTCAAATATCAAGTCTCTGCTCTCGGCTAAAGCACAGGAAGGTGTGAGCCTGGTTGGGCAGACAGGCCTTCAGGCACTCACACATTACTGTTTTACACACCTGGAGGCCAAAATAAAGTTTTTCAAACTGGGTTAGAATAGAAAATCCCAAATTACCTTAATTCTCATTTGGTCTCTAAGAAGTAAAATTAAAAACATTGTTAGAACGTACCTTGTGCTGTCACTTGTTACTGTTTTCCATCTGTGCGTCCAACCACCAGAGGAGAATCATCCCTGTGCTGTGTGAAATCTGCTGCAACAATGTGCCATGTCCCGTGCAACAGGTGTAGCCTCGGAGGAAGGGTGGAGAAAGAAGGAGGAGGGCTGGACGGTTATTTGGGGCGGAGGCAGAGCAGAGGCCTGTGGTCATGCTACAGCAAGTTTTCATCATCCATTTATTCACAGGCTTTTATTCTGTGTGTCGAGCTGTAAATAGGACACACTGCACAGTTGTTGTCACTAGAGGGTAGTATCAAGTCTCTATTCACAATAAAGAATGTGGTGAGTATTTATGAGGCAGATAGTGTAGGTGAGGACGGATCAACACTCTGATAATAATTCCATTTTGACATCTTTTTTCTTTGAAGTTCTGTATGTTAACGGTCAAACACACTTCAATCTGTGCAACAAAGAAGTGAGTGTCCTGGTTGAAGATTCCTCAGAGAACACACTGGCCTTCAGAAGAGCTCAGCTGGTGGCACAGGTTGCTGGAGGTCACCTCGTTTGAATAAATATAGCTGTGTACTGTCTCGTGCACGGCCCGACCCTGTTCTCGCTGCACCCAGTGTGCTTGCTTTCCACCCAGCTCGCAAATGGAGCTCTGAATTTGGGTCAAACGGCCCCAGGAGGTACACGGCTGTCTTGTTGAGACTGCGGCATCATTACATGGATCATAGTATGTCTTCTGCAACATGTATCTTGATCACACGCTTCTCTTCACCTCTGTGCTCATGTGCTTTGATAACGATGTAACTCAGACTGAAAAACGTTGCACAGCATGAGAGAAGAACTTGCTTTCTTACACATAAAACACATTTTCCATTAATTCACACTGAGAGCAGTATATTTTGTTTTCCTGAAAACCCACAGAGAAAGATGTTGTTTTATGACTTTTGACATCATTTCACTTTCTTTTACATATGAAATAATTTATTTTTGTGAATATGCACTAAATTAACCAAGTACAAGGAATCTTTGGTGATTTTAAACTGGATATGTTTTGTTGTCATAAATTGTGATAATGACAACATGCGGTGAAGTGACAAAATAGTTTCCTCTGATGTGTGTGATTTTAAGTTTGATTCATTTCAATTAAAGTAGATGGTGGACAGATGTCAGTGATGTAACTGAAGTATAGCAGTTGTTGTTTGTACAATGTGGAAGCCTATTACAGTCAAAAAAAGAAAATACATCGAAAATATGACACACTGAGTCAAAAGTATTACCTTAGTTGTGGACTTTAAATTACTGCCCATTTAGATTTATTTAGATTTCAATAGTTTAGATAATAACAATTAATATTTTAGTAAAATTTTATAATTTTGATTTATATAGCTGAATTTTGACATTGTCAGCCAGAACTCCAACACAGTGTCTCAAGTGTTTGACTGAGACTGTTATAATTTGACTCACCAAAAGATTTCTTTAAAAAACAATTGTTAATATTACATTTTCCCTGGTGGAAATATGCTTTCATACATTCACAATCTCCATCCAGTTAAAGTTCTGTGGTCGCTGGTTTCAGACAATGAAATATCTGGATTTATTGGCTTCATATGTTCAACCAGACAGTGAACTCCTTACACTATATTGGCGGCAGTTCCCTACTTCTAAGTCAGTCTCAGCATGACTGTGTCTCTTCCTATAGAGAAGATAATATCAGCAGCTCCCTGCTGTGTTGTTCATGCAGAGATGTAGGTTGCAGTTTAAGTCTGAGCATTCATTCGCTCTTCAAATCTTTAATTATCGACAGTGGTTCAGAGGCAAAGCTGCAGACCTGATGTTCTCTAACACAGGATGTACCCAGGGGTTCAACTGAGCTGCCCTGGGGGCTCAGCCTCAACACACTCGTCTGTGTCCTGGTGAGGTGCAGATAACTCAAGTTAACGACAACAGCGCTCATTACCGTCAGTGCAATAAAAAGTAAAAGGCCAATATAGTTACCAAACCACCTGTTCAACAAAAATGCAAAATAACAATGATTCGAACAGTCTTGTGCGCAGTCTTGTGGTGGCATGTTTTACACAACCACAACAGAACAACATCACAAACTATTATAGAGAAGCTGAAATGAAATCTGTCTATAGTCCGGAGATTATCTTTGTTTGAGTGGAATCCAGAAAAAACCTGAATGAAAATCACTCTGTGGCAGGTTAATCATACAGAGAGGGAACAACAGATGTGTGATGAAACCAAAAATAATATGCAGATTCACATAGGAATAAAAATGTGTATTAATGATCAAGTTTTACATTTTAGTCCCAGGTTTGGTAATTACAGATCCCACATGACTCTATAACCCCCAACGTCCTGTCTCCTGAAAGAGGGAGCCCCTCAGAGACAAGAGCAGATGAGTGGCCCCTCTTTCAGAATGGAACGAGAGTAAACTGAATTATGTTACAAAATACAAGTGTGAGTCATGACTCTGTCCTTTGTGGATCTTTTGAACGATTTATGAACTTTACTTTGTTTCTCTTGTGTTTGATTTTTGGGATTTGTGTCTGTGTTGTTTGCACCCTGGGTGAAGTTGTGTTTTATTCTGTTACACATTCAGTCATTTCCTGTTTTATTTTGTTACTTACCCTTGTGTGAACTTCCTGTCTTTGTCTGTTGTCCCTCCTTCAGTGATCGCCTGCTCAGCCTTGATTGTTTCCACCTGACCTGTGTCTTGTCAGCGTCTCTATTTAAACACTGTTTGTTGTCAGTTTTCTGTCAGAGTTCCTCCTGTTTTCCCTCCTGTTCTACTCATGTAAGTTTTTGGCCATGCTTTTTACTTTATTACAAGAATAGAGTCGCAATTGAGTAAAGATATGAGCATTGTTAGGAAATAAGCAGAACCTGAGCTTGCACAGTTCCACTCCTTCTGGATTAAACATTTTGGACCATTCTCATCGTGAAACTATAAAAGTCTGAAAAACATCTCACAGTCATAACCAGCAGAGTTCAGCCAAACATTTCTTCCTCCACTAAAGAGGCAAAGTCTATTTGTTTTTTCCTTTGGAACTGACTGAAGGTTTGGTGTGTACGGTTCAGGTGAAAGGATCTATTGGCAGAGACTGAATATGAAATAATCCTGGTGATGTTTTCACTATTATGTAATCATTTAAATTGTATTCATTGTTTTTTTCTTATCTTGGATCCTTTATATTTAAATACTTTATATTTACATCAGGAGCAGGTCCTCTCTACGGAGGCCACCATGTTTTTTACATTATTCCAAACTGGACAAACTAAACACCTTCTGAGTTTTTATGACAACTGAAGGTTTCCACAGGTTCTGTCATGTTTGGAAGGGGAGGGTGAGGTGAGGGGTGTTCAGCTGCAACATGCAACTTCACCACTAGATATCATTCAATTCTACACACTGAACTTTTAAGTATGACGTTATTTGTCAGATCTATAGCAAAGTACAACTTAAGATGCTCCCCATTCCTCACGTACTGTTTTACTTCAACATTGCTCTAATACTCTGTCGTACCTGACTTTCTTTCTGTGTAACCTTTTGTAGATCTCTTCTCAAATGTGACATCTGCATTTGGGTCATGCCATATTATTTAACAGCTCTTGTATTGCCATAAACAAGAACATAGAATTGGTAAGAGCTAAATAATCAAGAAAACTGCCTCACTGTTATTCCACTTAATGCACAGTGTATATGTATAGACATGACATAGAGGAACTTGCTCGTGGCATTCAGAGATTTCCAGAAAAAGAAACTTCTAATTAAAGCACTTGATATTCATGCAGAGCAGATTCAGATCTTCATGTAACACAAACAGAAACTCTAATGAGCGGGTATTTGAGCGACTGTTCGAGCTGTGGGTCTGAGACAGAAGTGAAAATATTAGGAATTCAATATTTGTTTGTGTTGCTTTTCAGATCTTACTGATGAGATATGTTGTGTTTGCCGCTACCCACACATGACTGCACTCCTCCGCAGGAATACTACTCATCCAGAGGCTAACTCTGACTTCAAAGGTGTGTATTTCTGGCACAAATGACTCATTTCTTCCTGTCAGCATAAGGGCATGCATTCAAACAGGGATGTTGTTTGAGGGAGAAATAGTTGTGTGTGTTGTATTAAGGAAAAAGAAGCTTGGGACTTTCTGAGAATTGAAGTAAAACCATACTGATGATACTATGTTTTAAATTTACAGCATGACAGCAAAGCAAGGTTAAAAATCCTTTGGTCCGCTCACATCCGGCTGCAAACCTTCATCTTAACCTTTAAACAGCATCTCATGTGAAATGTTTGTGTTTGCATGCAGTTCGACCGCCGTGCATTTTATTAAAAGCCTCACCACAGGCCCAATCAATGGAGACTGTCCTGCTGTGCATCGTGCCACTGTGCAGGACAATGACTGGTGCATATGGAGAGCTTGGTAATCAATCCGTGCAGTCGCCTCACCGATCTCCTGGTGCCAAACTCATACAAGCACAAATTACTCAAGTAAACACAGGTATCAGCTGTAAGATGTCTTCCTTGACACCGTCTACAATTTATCAATATTTAATTAAACATCTTCAGCAGTGGTTAAGGTCCAAGAACAACAACAGACCTAGTCAGTACAAGGATTATTTCACTAATGACTACACAAACATCTGTCTGTATGTGTTTGGAACTCATGTCTCGCAAAACATTCATCTTATCGACTTCATAATATGTGTATTTCTAGTGGCCCAAAGAAGGGCAGTATTGAAGTTGATGCAATTTCGATACATATGTTCAATATAAATACAAATTGAACAAACTGTAGCAGTCAGTGGGGGGAGGGGCAGTTCATCTTCAGTCTGTGGGCCGAGTTGAACATATATCTTCAACTGTGTCCTCAGACTGACAGATACAGACGTACCTGCAACAGATGCTGATCTTTGTCATGTAGACAAAATTCACAGAGTCACCTTCATGAGCATTGCCCAAACGATGACATACAATGTGAAATGGAATTTATTTTCTGACACTGCGAGGCTGCCTCAGTTGCTTTACCCACAGTTAACAGTTTTCTGTGGAAATGGCTGCTTTGCTCAAAAAATGCTGAGCTGTTTCAGTCTTGAGTAATTGCTAAAAGAGGTAGGTGATTTATGAAATCTGCACAGGCTAAAAGAAAAAGTAGGTGCTGAGTAAATGACAGAGGATGCAACACAAGTTAAATCTGGGACAATGCAAAGGTGTGTAATACATGAGCAATAGCAGCCTCTAGTGGATCAAAGGGTCTGGGTGGGTGGGCGGCCAAACACTGATGGATTGTGTGTGTGTGTGTGTGTGTGTGTNGTGTGTGTGTGTGTGTGTGTGTGTGTGTGTGTGTGTCATATACTGTAAAAGTGTGGGTCTGAACCTCCACAGCTCACAAAATCAAACCTAGAAATGTGGCTCTACACACCATGTGCATGTACACGCACACGTGTTCCAGCAGGAGGTGAAGGGTATTACATTTTTGTGTCTGAATAAAATTTGAAAGCATTTGGTTTCATTTGCACTCAAAATGAGGATGTTGTTGCATGATGGTATCAAACTTCAGTACTGTGGTTGCACAGTATTCTGGGATTTAACTTTTTTGAGGCCTTCTCAGCAGATGCAGCGCTAATTGCTGTCCCTGACATTTACACATGCAGATGCCAGAGGTTTCATCAGAAGAAGACTCTCAGCACGCTAATAACCTCCAAAATGTTAACGTGTTAATTTATTGTATGTCACATGTATGTGACTCATACCTCTGCAGCAGAGACGGTGGAGTATTGAATGAGCTCATCTACACACTGCCAGCTGCAAGGCTGTGTGGAGACATGAATGATGCACTGAGATTTTATTTCTGTCAGATGTCTGCTCCTTTTTTTCATCTGAAAAGGTAATATCTCTCCAGACAGGTGGAAAGTAGAAAAGGAGACACAAATGAAGATGTGGGGAAAGAAAAGGTAAGGCAATTCTATTTATATGGGCAATTTAATATGACATTGTTCCTCAGTGTTTTTATACTAAAAGTCATACAGCATTTAGTGCTAACTCAAATGTAGTGCAATAACAAACCAACACAATACAACCACTGATCCATGCACAAATATACAGAAAGAAAAAGAAAAAAAACTATGAAGCTGAAAGAGCAGAACAGTTTTCAGTTGACAAAGATGTGACAGAGATCAATGTGAGAGGGGAAAATGGCGTGAGAAGAAATGTGAAAAAGAAAAAAAAATATTCTCACTGGGATTCTTCTCTAGCATGGGAAAGTCACTGTCTCAGAAAGTTTGTCTGATGCTATACAGAAGAATATTGTTAACGTGTAGTTTAGAATATAATTGTGAATGCTCATGGTTTTATAAGTGAGCAAACATTAAACAGTGCACAGGCCATCACTATGGCAGCAAACCATGTATATACCTAAATCCAGAAAAAACATAAATCATGTAACTTTGTCAAACAAGGCAAAATATTATTTTGTAAAACCACACAGTAAAATTCCAGATAAATGTGTTTTCTCTCTGATCAGATCAGACAATCATACACACAGGATTATGTAACATCAATTGGCATATAATCACAGGTTATCATTTTGAAATGAAGACCTGGATATCACCAGATGAAAAGGAAAAACAAAACAGTTAGAATGACATAATCAAATAACTAAATCCCTGGGTAGCTACCAGCTAAATTTAAATGTTTTAAATGTTTGGTGGTCAGGTGTTTAGTTAGCAAATGACTACAAGGCCATCGTGAGATTGACTTTAAAAGTTCTGACGTCAGTGGTGCATAATCAAGTCAGTAAAAAACACCAGCATAAGTGAGTGCACACAGATGTCTGCTTGGGGATGAATGGAAAATGTTCCCTCTGCTGAGAAGTATTGTTTTTATTAGTTGCCAATTATAATCTGCCTAATCGCAAGCAAACCTGGCTTTTAAAAGTAATGAAGGATGGCACTCTGATTGGTTTATTGCAAGCTACACGTAAAACACACTCACTCCTGCATCTCAAGAGCTGCTACAATGCTGTTATTTTACCTATTATGCAAATACCCTGTATTATTTGACTTCCACCAAAATGTTTCCTTCATCTTACAGTATTATCTATTTAGACTCACAAATTCCCCCAACACATACAGGATTAATCAAATCAAGATATTGTTGAATGCTGTTCTCCTGCTGATGAGAGTAAACAGTGTAAAACTCACTTGGCGAGGGAAAGTGATGAATTATCGCTTCATACTGAACACACTGTCCATAAACATCACATTTGTTGACATGGTGTATGTTGGGGCTAGAGTATTTAATGAAAATAGTGTGTTTTCATCAGTGGTTGGCTAAAAATAAGAACCTCATCGTAAAAACCAGTAAAGCAATATATGAGTGTATATAAGTTCCCTCCAAATATCTCAAACAGGAGCTAAAACATTATTTTTGCAAGTTAATGGACACATAGCTTATTAATGCTGGAAAACAAATTGGAATTTTCATATGGAAATAACATTATTTGTTGTGCCTCATGAGTGCTCTAAACACCAGACTGTTCTCCACAGCTGTCAAATGGCCAGTTTCCTGTAAAACAACAGACACAGGCTTATTTAACACTCACAAAATAGACTAGAAAATCCAAACAATGACTAAGCCAGATATTTTAATTTCCTTAATTGTCTTCTCTTTAAATAATGTCTATGACGAATGTCTGGTTAACACATTTTGAATAACAAAAACACTACCTGTCACTTCCGTTCAGCGAGTAATAAGTAAAAAGTGTCTAAAGCCAAATTGACACTTCTTCGTCTAACCCATAGACGTGTACCCTACACAGAACACTACATCCTACATTATCGTGCACCTCCCCAAAAATGTAGCTACGTGTCTACATTGCAGTTCTTCAAGAAAAAGTATTTGCTCTTCAACATCTAGCAACTCCAACATGATAAAATTGACCATTGTTCTGAAGTACACAGGCAGACCGGAAACTGGAAGGAACTCTACATCCTCTAGCATCTCTGCTCCTTGCCCACTCATGTTTCGGCGGTGTAATTACGACGCACACACACCTATACACAACTATGAATGGGTGTAGGCTATGAACGGTGTAGGCCCTTAGTGTAGGCTACACGCATACCTACGGCGTAGGACAAAGAAATCCACAGGACTGCAAAGAGTTATTGGTATTAGCATTAAATAAACTTTAGAATTGAAATGTTATAAGTGATATAACATGAACAAATCAAAAGTAATATATAGTATAGTAGTCTCTATAGAGGTTTTTATTTTTGCTGTTAATGGTTTTATCTCACTTTAATTGGATTTAGTCCATTTCCATTAGATGCACAGTTGGGAATCCCATAGGAATACAGCAGTTTTCAACAACATGTCAAAACAAGGGGGATGCCTGAGGAGCGATGGGAAGATAAAGACACAAGCCTGCATCAATGCATCTGCACACATGCACACACAGTGTATATAAAAACACTTATGACAGAGTCTGATCCCACTTTGCACTGAAATGAACAGATACTGAAATGGAACAAACCCTTGAAACGAATCCATCACAGACATGTTGCATAAGGACTTGACTTGTTAGAATTCTACACAGGCTCAAAGTTAGATATTTTATCATTTAAGACAGAACCTACTGTGTCACCAAAACAAGATTGTGATGATGATAGTTCAGTATCAGTAGAAAACTGAGGTTTCATTTCATATAGACAGACTTTATAACTAATCCATGTGTTACAGTACATTTTTACTAAAATAATCCTTCATACAGATGGAAACTCCTATTGCAGCCAAAACATATGCTTGAAAGTGCATATCATTATTATAAGCGTTATTTATTTACTATAGATTAAAGGTGAGAAATTTAGAAATGTAGACTTAGACGAGAATTAAACCAGATTTATTTAGCAAACGCTGTTGACCAAGGACATTTTTTCCTTGACCTCTCCAATGTTTCTGAAGACTACATAGACACGCGGGCAGGAGGAGACAGTTGTGCTATCAACCATACATTTAACGACCAACTCAGTTACAGCCTGTCTGTAAATCAACACCATGTCCTCTTAAGTACAGTAACACAAGATCTGGGTTTGTGTGTGTGAGTGGGTGAGTAAGCATGGCTGAACATGGCATATGTCCAAGCTTATTAACACAAGCAAGGTCATGCACAAGATCAGTGACACGATAACCAACATGTCAAATCATACCATGACACTCATTTAACCTTTAACTGAATCATTAGCAGTGGTACAATAAATATATTGTACTCTATAGTGTGAGGGGCTCAGATTATGAAGGCGTAGACATCAGAGCAAAGAGGCAGTGAAGACAAAGAGAGAATTCATGTCATCTTCACCTCCACGTTCAGTAGTATTTCCACAAAGGCATAGAGACACTAGCATGAAGTCTTTCCAATGGCTTGTAGGCCTGAATAATGCATTAATGCACCAATGCAGAACAGATGCATAGTAGCCTATGTATTTATAATACATAACAGACCATTAACAGAATGAACTGGCAGCTGGTGTTGGTTTTCCCAGCTGAATCCTGCTTGCCAATCCCACATTTATGGGAATTTTCCCTACAGTCAGATTGTGTATTCCATGTTGTCCTATAGGTATTTCAATCCAAGTTAAAGGCTTTCCTATTGATTTGATATTGTGTGTTGGAGAGTTTTTTTAAATCTAGTTTTCTGGTGTCAAATGGTATTTTTTGGTTGCCAGGCTCTCAGGAAAAAGGCCAGTCACTGTTTGGACCAGAATTTTTATCACAGAAAACTACCACGTTTACAAAGTTACTGGATATACTTTATATATACTTTTACTTTACATGTGATCTCTGCTTAGATATTTGGTATTAGCACAGTTAGTTAATGATGCGAAAGCTGTTAAGTTATTTTCTCTATTGCACAGCTAATCCTGCACTTTCCGATAGCAATCTTGACAACAGTGTCACTTTCTTTACAAACAAACAACAGAAGCATTCAGAACCGGCTATTGTTGCACTTCATCAGCTACACTCATCTGTCAAGTCTCATCTCATTCCCATGTTAATTTATTGGTAATAGATTACTCTAGCCAGCTCTTTCTCTCCCGCACATTTAGGTCCTTAAATGTCCTTGCAAGTTTTAACAGTGTATGTTTCAGGATCTTTAATTTGCCTGTTAAGTTTAAATATGTACATTCCGATTCATGTTAGTGTCTCTCTGTGCATGAGTCACAGATCATGTGACTGAGCAGATGTTGACGTCTTCAGTATGATGACAGAGACACGAGCTTGAGAACTGTAAAGTGAAATAAACCAGTTGGCTTCGGGATGAGTGAGAGGCAGGCAAGACATTTTTCTGACATTTCCTCTGGTGACATTTCCAGTCTGTTTGAGGAAAATGCAAATAAAAAGGAGAAAGAAACATAGAAACAAAAGACTGCAGCATTTCGATTCCATTTTATTCTGGCTGACTTTAGAAGTCGGTCCCCCTTTGTTCGGTTTTCACAGGAAATAATTGGTGCGACCTCTGGGAGTCTAACTCAGATCAATTAACTGTGTTTTTATGTCAGAGCCGTCTTGTTACAGCCTGACTGAGGCAAAGGTCAGAGAGGCAGGTGGAATCCACTCAGCGGCATATGGGCAAGGCAGTGGAACGTCTGAGCAGCAGGTGAAAGTAAGAAGGGAGTTCTGTGCTCAGACTGGGATTTTAACATGGTCACTTTAATCACAGCACGTCACACAAAAGACACGGGGCGTTCTCTGATTGTGGTGGCATGGAGAGTAATTTACACAAGTACAGATACAGCAGGAGGATGAATGGTGCAATATGTCGCTGTATCAAATACAACAGGGAGCTGGAAGAATACAGTGTGGCCTGGTGTGTTGATTTTTTTCATTTAACTGTGGAGGGGGATAAAATTGGTTGAGAATGTGGCTTAGTAGAAAAAAATTAATATTTTTCTACTGACCTCCATTTGCTCTAATTCAAAAAGAAAATGGCTGCTCAGTGGCAGCTGAGAGATTCATTCATTTAATTCTTAATCTTCATGAGATTGAATTCATTATAATGTAATATACCATTTCTAAATCCTACACATGGTATTTTTACATGAATACCATATAATAATACTCAGGGCACTTTCATCTGATTGCACAAAGATAAAAAATGATGTGATATTTCTGCACTACAATGCAGTTCTGATTGCTAAAAACCAAGGTTTAGTCTGAGGCAGCAGCCTCCTCTGGACATCATCAGCCAGCGGCTTCTCCCAGCAGCTTACACTCCCCTGTGTTCCTGTCACTGGCCTCAAGCCTCATTTGTCTGCATTCAGTGCAGAGTTCAGAGTCGGTGCCAGAAGAACCAGAATCGATGTCCTCACAGTCCTGTGGTGACCCCTTCATAATCTGCTCTGAAAAGCTCAAACATATATCTGACAATGTTACTCAGTGGAACACATATCTTCTTATCGTCTTCACAGTTTGCAGTTGTATTGTTAATAACCTAAGGAAGTGAACTGTTGAATTTGGTGCAGTTTGGACATGTGATGTGTTCAATATTAATAAACTGAATAAACAGACGACCAGCGGCTGGTACTATCTAAGTGACGTTGTTGATCATGACTCAGGTTTCAGACTCGAGCTTCACTGAACTTTGAATAGACAAATGAACAGCAGTAGGTCTCTATTTGCTGCAGCTCAATTACTGCAGGTCACTCGCAATGTTTCAGAAAGAAATCTGCATTCTGCATCACCTCAGGCCAAGCGAACACATTCCCCACATATTCAGAACAGGCTCTGCACTAATTCTATCAATTGAGGGATTCAACTGCTTTTATTGACATCTGTATGACTCATGATTAAAGTATCTGTACCCTGCACCATTTGAACAGACCTGGCGGTACAGGAAGCTAAATAACTACAAAGGCTCAGCACTCATCACCTGAGTGACCACCCAGAGATTTCTTTTGAATACTCTCACTGCTGGATTCCTTTGTCCTTGTTCAGTCATTAATCACAATGTTTGTTTCTTTATGTGCAGAAAAACTCATTCAGTCAGCCTCCTGCTCTTCAGGGCGCCAATACCTGTGTTCTTGAGAAGTGATAGTTTCACAGCATGGCTCGGCTCTATGGACAGCAGTGCTGATCTGTCGGCCGTTCTGTGTAGCAGTGGGTGAGTCAGCCTTAAACATCTAAACTACTGGTAGATTTTCATGAAGAGTCAATTTGGCTTTAGTGGCCTCTGGATTATAGCTTTGGTAATATCTCCTCATTTCAAATAGAAATTTTGATTTGTCCCATCATTTGGTTTACGAGCAAATCAGGCACAACTGATCTTAAACATAATCTGCTAAACATTATCATGTTATCTTGTCATTATCAGTGTTCAATAAACATTAGCATGCTGATAAAGCATCACTGCACGTGTCGGGTACCTGCAAAAAAGGTTATGTAATGGGTAAAAATATACAGTATCTATATCACTTCATGAGAGCGGGCACAGGTACAAACACAGGCAGGTAGCTGGTGAGAACTAAATTATGTGTTTATATATATATATATATATATATATACAAAGTGTAGTCGGCTGCATGGATTTGTTTTATTGTGAAAGCCTATGACAACACTTTTGACCACTTCACTTCCGCTCACTACTGACACTGAAATAGCCAGAACATCAAAATGGATCACATGAAGAGAATGTAGACAATGGGGAATATGTTCTAAGTGGCTTTGCTGGTTATAAAAAGTGCCACAATGCTTTAGTTTTTGATAGCTGCAGACTATAGGCACGTCATCACTGAGGGAACACATTTAAAGCTGCAGGAGCACAGACAGGGAGGCCCTAACCCATTAGTGACTGTGTATGTAGCATGTGTTTTTATCACTGGTTATGGGTCGTGTCGTGGCTCATATATTACGTGTGTGTTTAGCATATCATGAACAAAATCTGGAATGCATTAATATAAAGTCAAACATTCTTTGGCTATTCTATTATATAAGCTCTATAATACACCAGTTCACATTTGTTATTATAGTCTTGTTTCGTGTCATGGCCATGAGCCACATCAGGAATGTACAGCTATTTTTATTTTATGTTCATAATGCCCAAATCTGAAGATGTTCTCCAGCTCCTTTGTGTGGGAGTCGGCAGCAACCGTATGAGTCAGAGTCCTGGAGGATAAATAAATAAATATTAAAATAAATAAAGACACTTCATGACAGTAGAGGTTATATAAGGTGATACAAACTTACCCTTTCTAATATTCTTAAGTCAGCAACAGATTTGAACCAATGAGTAAGATACAATCATATTAAATTGTAATTTACAAAGATCTGAGTATTTGTCTGATAAAACTACATAGTGGTCCAAACTAATTGAAGACTACACACACTCACACACACACTCACACATACACAAACATCCTGGGTATTTTCTATCACGTTTTTGCCATCCTTTACAACTGCAGCACCTGAGGTGATAATGAATCAAATGAGCAGACATACATTCTTAGACCTCGTATGCATCACATTTGAGAGGCGTTGACAGGGCAATATATAGCACGGAAGTCCCCCATAGATGTGTTGTGAATCAGTGTTGTGTGCTCATTATGTGCACTGAGTGCTAAATGTATGCTCTGAGAAATACACTACCATGATTATTTTTCTGAAAGATGACTGTGGCTGTGCAGGCTGTGGAGTCAGTGAAGTATAAAAGATTGTGATTGAATGGATTGTTTTACAGAAAATCAACAAACTACACAACACGAAAAGATACATACATATACATTAGGCAGCTAATAAATGGTGCTGCATTCCATGACCTTTATAGAATTACCACTGAAGACCTTCCCCCAGAACCAAATCAAATGAAAGGTGGTTTCATGTCCTAAGTACTGTATGTGGGTTGTAAATTGGCAGAACTGGCAGGACACATTTAAAAATGGAGTCATGTGCCATTGTTTATGTTTTGAGCATCATTAGCAGCTACTTGATACAGAGCTTTTGTTTAAATAAAGCTGTGTATTCCAGATACTGAATTTCAATCAGGATAAATGGATTTTGCCATGGTTGTCTACACATACCCATGTTTCGGTCTATTTATATAAAGAGTAGAGACAATTAATGATTTAATACAACATCAAGGCCATTGAAAGGCAGCTGTGGCTCAGGAGGTAAGGAGGGTGGTCCACTAAGCAAAAGGTAGGTGCTTCGATCCCGGCACCTCGAGTGTGCATTCCAAAGTGTCCGCGTTGCATATAGAGGTGCTGCACTGTGTGGTCAACAAGACTGGGAAAGTGCTACACAAAGACAGGCTGTCAATAACCACACAAAATGAACCACAGACATTTTCTGTTCAGAGCAAACCAGAGTAAATATCTTTCTTCCCTTAACCTTAGGCTTTTTTTCTATTGATTGGACAAAACAAGACATTTGAAGACATCACTTTGGGCTCTGGGAAACTGGGGTGGACATTTTTATTCTATGTGCTGACATTTCACAGACTAAAATAAATAAAACTAAGCAACTAAAATAAGCAACAGATAAGTAAAATATTTGCGATGCGGCCCTAGTTCAGCTATACCAAATCAAAGATAAAAGCTACAGAGATTTCTGATTTGCCGATAACTTTCCTTCAACCTTTGTTTCGATGGTTATAGAGCTGCCAACCATCTTCTTACTCTGCATACAGTTAATCAGTGTTGTCAGGGACCTTAATGAGCAGGTGCAGACATGATGCACCAACAGGACCATCTCCTTAATTGGTCCAGGAAACAGTCGGACCAGCATTCATGGAACACAGTGAAACACCCAACTGATTCTGACACGCTGTTTTAACTGGTAACCTCCTGATTTTATAGTGTGTGTGTCAGAGAGTGAGAGAGAGAGAGCATCTGTTGGACCTTGACTTGGTGTTCTGCCAGTCATTCTCTGTCCTTCATTTTATATCTATTTTTGAATTGCAAACAAATATATTCAAAACTTTCAGCCTATTTCCAAGTTCACTCATTTGCAAAGCATAACAGTCACGTTGACTCCATTTTGAGAGACACTCAGGAATGATAATATGTTTGAGAAATTCTAGAGACGAATTAAAAAAGTCATTCAGAACAGAAACAGCTCTCCTACGTTGGAATTTTAATTTCTCCACAGACAACAAAACTAAGTTGTATTTCCATCCAGGGTTTTGAATCTTCAACTGCAATAAGCTTTACCCGTGGACTGCTCCAATTATTGTATTATGGGATGGCTTTAATTCTCGCTCTACATGCATACATTTCCCTGAAGTCTTATATCTTTTAATCTTGTGTGCACAAGTTATTATCTTGTGGGAACAAGTTACTATCTTGTGCACACAAGATATTTATTTAAAGAAGATGTTTGTGTTTTAATCACTCACACACAGCCACCAGATTTGAACCATTGCTTGGAGACAACTCAGCCAATCAACTTTTATTTTCACCTGAGAAACAACACCGTAAACAACTTACAACAACAAGTGTTGTCTTCAAAGCATCGGCCATAATGTCTTATACGTAGATATTAACTGTGTGCATACAACTTATTACCCCTAACGCTAACTTATTTATCTTGTGCACATATGATAAAAGAAAATCATCTTTGGGACTTCAGTGCCTCTGTACTGTTATTCAGATGACACACAGTAATAGCTCTTATTTAAACCATATGAACTCAACAATCTAGATTCATTGCAATTTTTTTAATCCATTGTCAAAGACTGGTTGGCAGCTAATTTTCTCCAACTTAACAGCAAACAAACAGAGGTTTAGTGTTGTTTACTTTGGTTAAATCTGTGGCAAAGTACCGTGGGGTAATATTTGACCTTTGAACATCACATCAGAACCATCACCCAAGCATGTCCTCATCATCACAAATTTATTTTTACTATTTCATGGAGCTTTTTTCAGTTTGTAATACTTTTTGGTTTATTTTTTTTACTTGTTTGTATAATTTCTCTTCTTTTATTTACATGTTTGAGGTAAATAAAAAATGTAATGAAATTAATACATTGATACGAGCATTTGAATAGATTTAATACATGATAATAATAATATAAATTATGTAAATACCACATATGTTCACTTCATTTGAGATCATTCAATCTCTTTGAATTGAATAGCATGCATATTTTGCTATTTCCTTTATTTAAATTCCACCTGCCTTGATGGAGCCTATTTTCTCTTAAGCCAGGCTTGATTTCAAATCATTTATAACATGAGAACTGATTACTTCTTCTGTATTGTGCTTGCACAGCCAATTGTCTTTGTATGACCCTAGTGCAGTTTGATATATATATAAATATGGTCATGTTTAAAAAAATGTATGTCCTACAAGGGGGGTTTCAATGGGTTTCTGAGTGCTATGGGAATAAAATGTATTAATATTATTACTGAATGCATGTTAACCATTAACCATTGATTTTAGCACAAGCTAAATTATCTAAATTATCAGATATTTTATATATGTATAACAAGGTGTAATGGCCAATTACTCAGTATCTTGTAAAGGAAATGCTGTGGGAAAGCTCAAATAGACACCAATTAAGGTGTTTGATTACTTGTGATTACGCTCTCTCTCATGTGTGCTGTTCACATAACGCCCTCGCTTACACCCAAAACTCACCTCCCCTTCTAATTAAGCAAGTAATCCTATCACATATTTCCTCCTCACAGAGCACAGATGCTGCTGAAAGACATGCTCAGAGAGGGAGAGAGCTGCAGAGAGCCGCTTTGATTCAAATGCACAAGAGTTGTGCTTATCTGCAGGTTCATATTGCAAAGGACATGATCTGAATACACGTTGAAGTGCCTGCCGCCATTAATCTGGAGGGCTTTTACCATCCGGTCGGTGTTGGATGATAAAATGTTGCCTGCACTGTGTCATGCTATTTTTGCATTTATCTAGAAGTTACATTGTGATTGGTCCATGAGCCCAATCAAAGATCATACATGCTCTAATGTGCACCCTGAAGGACAGGCACATAACAAGGGCTGATAAATAGGCTGAAGGACCACTATAAATTTCATGGATTTTTAGACAGCCAAACAATATGGCAGCCCAATGGGATTTGTCCCAGTTTTCCTGACAAGTATACCATTGCTTGTACACACTGTTTGTCTTCTTAGAGTTCTTCCCTCCCCACAGGTAGCTAAGAGCAGCCTGGAGAACGCAGACAGTGTGGAGCTTCATACCTGTAACCTACATAATTATCTGCCTCTGTTTACTAGTCAAATAACATGTTCTACAACAGTTCTCACAGTGTCACAACCTACTTCCCACTCCTCACTGATCTCATGCAGGGCCTCTCTGTAAGACGGTCTGCCTGCGGGGCCCCTCTGTGGGGTTGCCTCTGGTGCAGGTCAGCAACACTGCCAGGACAGAAAAGAAACCCTGCAGGCAGAACCCTCTCCCTATACTTTGAATCTACCTGGAAATCTGTCATAAGGACTGAGAACCTAAATCCCTGTTTACAGTTCAGTTCACATATTTTGATTCAGAGCACTTGAAAGGACGTCTGATTAAAGAGCGATCGATAAGCAACAACTCTGCCCTGCTTTAGAGAGAGGTGGTAACTGTCGTCTGCAGGAATTGATTGAGAGTGTGCAATAAATCCAAACTGTACATCCCCACTAGCGGCCCTCGGACCTAATGCTGATTATTTTACTGCAGAGATTAGTTTGTCTTATTTAGGCTGAGATCTGTTTGGAACTGAACAAATTCAAAGTTCACCTTAAGTGTCTGTGGCCAAAATGATTCTGTCACATGGGCATTGTGTAGCGGCAATGCTAATGAGAATCAGGAATGGGGTTAGCTTCACTAACAGTGTGTGTGTGAGAGAGAGAAAGAGCTCTTGAGTGTGACCCAGCTTTATAGGTAAATGTCGGCCTTTTAAGAAATACTTGTATTTTCCCCCTCGGCCTTCACCTCCTGGCGATGAGAGTGATGGGATGCGACAGGTGGAAGCAGGTCTATTATAAAGCAATAACCCTGTAGTCCTCCTGCGATGTAATAAATACGTTTTAACACTAATATCAGCTTATTTGCATCTTCTTCCAGGGTCACTTCAGACAGAGTGACATAGTAAAAGAGGCGACAGGAAGAACAAAGTGTTTGGCCTAGTTAGAACGCACAGTGAGCTGTCCATGGTGCTGAATCCATTTCATATCTCCGTCTTTTCCTCTCTCTCCATTCACCTCAGTCTGAGCTTTGTTGACATGACGTGCACCCTCAATACAGAGCTAAACAGACCCTAACCCTAACCCCCAAAATGAATTCCATTCCATGCACAGAAAGCGCAGTCTGATAAGAACAGATGGGCAGATCTGCAGTGCTATTTTATGTCCATTACATTCACCTGTTTCCCTGAACATGAGACAAAAAACAGGACTCTCTCTGTTCTTTTTATTCCATGCATGCCTTATTGGCTTATTGCCTTAATAAGCTTTAGGTTGCAAAACAATACTGTTATGTTGATATTGAGCTAAAATATGTATATATATAAAAAGCAAACATCTGTAGACACTTTTTCAGACACTTATCAACCAGTTTTTGACAAGTTTGTTTCATCTACCTCTTTAACTCTTAAAACTAAGTAATGTGTAAATCATCACTGCATGTATACATCAAGTCTGCATGTTTTTTATTTTTGGGTGTAAATCACATTTTCAGTTCTGTGTGCATTAAATTGTAGGTGCAGATTTGTAATGCAAATATGTAATCGCTTCAGTGTAGAGTTCCAACAAGTTAAGTCAACAAATATGAATAATAGTCGATTTAATTGAAGATAAGGTGAACGTAAAGAGTTACCTTTGATACGTTACATTATCAAGATATACAAGTAGAGACAGTAGGTATCCATAGTCTTCACTGCAGATAAGTTGAGTGTTTGTAGACAGTTCTCAGTTCCACATGTAGTATTTATATAATTGGGAAAGAACTACAATGCCGAGACATTCCCTTCAATGCATGACACCAAAACATTTCTCAGAAAATATCATAATTTCAGAATGTGATGTAAGTTGCGCTAAAGGAATGTTGACATAATTAACATCCACTTGGAAATATATAAAGGGTTAGTTCACCCAAAAATGAAGATTCACTCACTATCTTCTCACCCCTATGCCGATGGAGGGATGGGTCAAGTGTTTGAGACCACAAAACACTTTTGGAGTTTCAGGTTTAAACAGCATTGCAGCCAAATCCAATACATTTGAAGTAAATGGTGACCACGTCTTAAATTGGCTAAGTTTTTAGCCTAAATGTTCACAGTGATCGCCGTGCGAACACGGCTCCAGAGGAAGATATCAGAGGACATTTAGGCTGAAAACATGGTGTAAATGTACTTGGATGACACCACAGGAGCAGTAGAGGCATTTAATGTATTTCTATTGTATAAATAAGTTTGAAGAACCTTTCACCATTTACTTCAACTGTATTGGATTATGCTCTTTACCTCTGAGACTCCAAAGGTGTTTTATGGACTCAAACACTTTATCCACCCGTCCATTAGCATAGTGCTGAGTAGAAAATGAGTGAATAGTAATTTTTGGGTGAACCATCCCTTTAAGATGTAGTACATAATATTCTCATGCATTTAAGATTCTTTAAGGCTCTGATGATGGTTAATGATGATGATGTCATCAGGGTTATTTTCTCAGCTTGAGCCTTACATTTACCATCTGCCCTTATTCCACCAGGCTCAGTGAAGATGTAAAAGGTTCCAGGTAACTGCTCACGAAAGTAAAGTGAACGAGGGACTGATCTCATGCACAGCCGTGATCATATTTACCAGCATGAGTTACATTTACTCTCGTTACTGTGGCAAAGCCAAAATTATAAATCAGAAATTTCATTTTAATTTTTAACTTTGCACGTTCATTTAATGTTTAAATGCAAATCTGTGAACCAGAGCAACACTGTGTGTTGTGCTCAAACTGAACTCATGTGAGGAGGCAAGTGAACACACATATCTAACAGTGAATGACTGGTAGCCTAAATACACTGAAGCCTTTCACTTGTGATTTACCATCTCTCTTTCGACCCTCTCTCTTCACTCTCTCTCTTTCCCTCTCTCTCTCCTTCTGACTCTCTCTCTCCTCTCCCTCCCTCTCTCTGGAGTTAGTTGGTGGGTTGCAGCAGTGTCTCAGTGTCTGTCCCGGCTCTCCTGACGGACAGAGGCAGTCCTCCCCTCTGCCTCTCCGCCTGTCTATCTGCCGGTCTGTCTCTCTGTCTGGCAGTGTGTCTGCCTCTCCGTGTATCTGTCTGTCGTCTCTGATGGAGAACGGAGCTCGGTAATGGAGACGGTCGTGGACCTGGTCTGTCTCTTCCTCCCGCCGCCGGAGACCCGCCAACTCACCGGACACATGATGCGTTAAAGGACGGTACAGCTTTTCTCGCTTCCCCACGGAGACCCCACAGTGTCGCTTGTTGTCGTCTTCTTCGTCACCTCCTCTTCATTGCTTCCTCTTCCTCGTCTGCTCGGGAAGTTAAGCACGAAACACGGATAAATCCTCCAAGTCTCCAAGCGGCGCGCTCACCGGAAGGTAAAGAACAAACAAACAAACAAACAGCAGGCTGCATGGAGGCTGGCACTGTCGAAATGCTTCGAGATGGTTTATGCACAGGATGCATTGTGTGTCTGATTTATTATTTACATGTAAAGTGAAATGTGTGAGGAGTGAACATTTCGTCCAAAGTGGGAGGAAGGTGACTCATGCTGACTCAAACGGAGGAGTCAGTGTTTACGCTGCGTCTCTGCGGGGTTTAAACACACACACACACACACACACACACACACAGTCACAGGACGTGTGTGTGTGTGTGTGTGTGTGTGTGTGTGTGCAGCCTCCTCCACCACGCTCCTCTCAGCTGTATTATGTTTGACAGGTAAAGTAATGGGTGATTGAGGTTTTGCAGTGCTGGGTTCCATTGGCAGGTTTGTCACATTGAGTTAAAGGTCCAGTGTGTAAGATTTAGGTGGCAGGGATCTATTGGCAAAATTGAATATGAAATAATTCTGGTGTAATAATTCACTAGTGTGTTTAATCTAAATTGCAGAAATTGTAGTTTTCTTTACCCAAGAATGGATCCTTTATTTTTAAATACTTTATATTTACATCAGGAGCAGGTCCTCTCTACGGAGGCCACCATGTTTTTTACAGTAGTCCAGACTGAACTAAACACCTTTTGAGTTTTTATGACAAATGAAGGCTGCCACAGGTTATCTTTTTAATGTTTGGAAGGGGAGGGGCATGAAGCTGCAACATGAAACTTCGCCACTAGATGTCACTAAATTCTACACACTGAACCTTTAAAGACATGTTAATCACACACTATCAAGATATATAAGATATTAAAAAGTTATATTCATACTTGCACTTACAAATATGTAAGAATGTCCTATATTTACTATTTACTTCTAGTGCATAGTTAATTTTTGCAGACCCATTGGACATTGTAAGCTATATTATGATTGACGTGGTATCTTAATAGTTTTTGCTTAATCTTTCTGTAAGATTAGTGTATTTCTTTTAACTTACCTATACTTATTGTCATGAGTGAGCTCTGATTTTTACATCAAGATTCATGAATTATTCATAGAAATCAATGTCTTGCATTGTTAAAGATAGTAAAAATGAATTCCTGGAGATTCCACTTGACCCATACCACAACCTTCCACCAAGTTTCATGTTAATCCGTCCGGTGTCTTTTGTGTAATCTTGCTTAAAAACAATATAGTTTTCATCAATAGCAATATAAGTGAAGGCCTTTTTATATTGAATTAAATATGCATGTTGTAAGCACAGTAAGGTGGAATAACCTATAATGATCTACCTCATCGATTCTCTGTTCATAAAGAAGAGTTTAAAACCAGAACCTTCACTCAGAGCAACAATCAGTCTTTAAACTTATGAAATAATAATATGACATTTATACTGATAAATAGCCATTGACCAAAATGAACATTTTATCTTGATATCCATCCAACCCAGCCCTCGGTGTGGTGTAGTTTGGTCTATTGCCGTACTCAAAGTGTGATTTATTTCAAGCATACATTTTGCTTAACATTGCCCAGCAAGTTTCATCTGTCAGTTTGATTTGATTGGAACATCCCAACAGTTAGCCCACTGCCAGAGATGCTGATTTCGCTCAGACTCTCTGTCCCGTGTTTACAAGGTCAATTACTCCACAAACTCAAATGAATCACTCGTCCAGCTCCGTCCACTCAGCAGACACTTCCCCACAGCATGGCTGAGCAGGGCCGCTCACTGTACTGAGGATACAAGAAGACAGATTTCTGCAAATACGTTGTTGTCATGAATTATCAGAGGAAAGAGAAAAAGGACACTATTAATAACTGAGATACAGCTGTGCTAAACCAGAGATACCAGTCAGGATTAATCAATAGTGTTTTTCCCAACAGTTTAATCAAATTAACTCCTGCACCCTCCCTCTGCACAGATGACATGTCGTAGTCTCTCGATGTGGCACAACAGGCTTTAGTAGGATGCAGTGTCTTTCATTCCATCAAATTAACAATGGATTTAGGTCTAGCTACCCTTTTAGCACAGCTTTTTGAGTGACCTGAAAAGCAGCCTAACTGCTGTGTTAGTGGCCTCAATTTGCTTCAACTGCAAAAAAAAGCTCTCTTATCCACTGTCACACACACTGCCCCCCCCCCCTCCCTGCTAGTATGCACTCACTCAAACTGTGTCTCATCGCATCTCATCACTCTCAGCAGCTCTCTGCCCTCTCAGCTTGTCTCCCTCACACGTGCATGCGCATGCACGTGTACACACACACACACACCCAAAGAGGCAAACCAGCCCACAGCTGTGTTGGATATTGTTTGATAAAGTGTGCGCATCTTTCTGCTATTACAAAGTGATAGTTTGTGTATTCTTTGGTACGTTTGTCGACGATGTACTTGTCTTCTTTTCTGTTTTCATTCTGTACATTACAACAGAGCATTATGACCTTATTGAACTCAGAACAAGGGGTTCTGTGTATTTAACTCTATTGTAATCCCCGCATTCTCATGTCATCTATATTGGCGAAAAGAAAAAGCAGCAGGATGGAACTTTTAAACCCCATTTCAAGAACAGGTCATTTCTATTTTATCTGTTTGCACAGTGGCTTCATTTTAGGAGGATGGTATATTGCAAAGGGCCATTTATAATGTATAGAGCAGTCCTGTATTAAATATCTGCAGAGTCGGAGGTGTGTATTCCATCACTCAGGCAGGGGGGCTTTCTTACACCATATTGCATCAATGGGGGAATGAAGGCAATATGGGGGAGAAAAGAAAAATATTCTCCGGCTTGTTTCTCCGCAGAAAGTTTGCCTGGGTGTTGTTACAGTTCAGAGCAGTGTGTGGGGCTCGATGATAATCGGATTTGAACTGGACTCTTTAATGATTTGTGATGTCAATGTTTTGGAGAAGAATCTTACAGATAAAAACCTGAAGTTCAAAGATGAAAACAGAAATAGAAGTCTATGATCAAGTATCAGCAGACTCTGATGCTGCAGAAACAGATAAAGTCATAGAAGACTATATTTAAATGGCCTCGCTAGAGAGATAAGATGTCGTCATCCCTCCAAGTCGGAAACTGTGTCTGCAGAAGGAACCAAATCTTTCTTATCACTGTGTTTTTTTAGTGCTTGTTCACTGCAGAGCTTTTTAGAAATTGATCACATCATCTTGTAAATCTGTTTACAACATTGTTACAGGTTGTGCTGGATGAAGAGTGTGTGCCTGTTTTGATGCATAGCAGCTGACAGTTGTAAGCAGGAATGTCAAAACAGAATAATTGACAACGAAAATGTTTGTTGACAGTTGACTGGGACATATTGGACAACAAGGAATTTTCGTTATCATAAAATAGTTGAGGTGTGTGAAAACCAACAAGGAGACTGTCGATAACACTCAAAAGTCATCATTAGTGATTTGTTTAGGAGACGGCAGTGATTGCCATGAAAGGTAATAGAAGGAAATGAAAGCATCATTTGTCATATACATTATGTTCTTGCACAATTCACATCCATTTGCTTGTTACCGACAATGACACGAACAGTCACAAAACAGTGTGTAATTTTAGAAAATGATCATGTCAGTGTGTCAGCGTTGCTCTTTTCTCTAACATTTCTTGCTCTCACCTGTCAGACATTGACAGTTCAGTTGTCACACAACTTGCTGATTCTATCTTCACTGAGCCAATGTTGTGCTTTCTGGGTCTTTGCCCTTGGTCCATTTAGCTTTTTGTTCATGTAGAAGGTCTTTTGAGCTATAAAGGCCACCGTCCATGGCAAAGAGAGTCCTACTGAAAACTCTGCTCCTGAAGAGGCAAAGTCAGATATTTTCCGGTTTGAGACATCAGCAGGAAAATGTCCATAACATTCAGCCATGGTAGATCATGCAGGAGACATGACAAAAGGACTCAATTCTGCTGTGTAAATCACATATTTTTGTTGACAGCAAATCAACAGTGGCGTCACCATAAAACCAGTTGGAAAGAGGTCACGCACGTCTCCCTCTCTGTCTCTCTATCTTCCACTTTCTCCCCTGAAATCAAAACAGTTTATTGTGGACATCGCTGCCATGAAGAAAATAACTTGTGACGTCAATTACGGCCACTTCTACTCATCCCAAAACCCCAACCCCCTAATTAGACCTTACTTCTGACTTCCCAGGAGAGCGCAGGCTCGGTAATGGGTGACAAACTGTCTTTTCACCTGGCCTGTAGATAACAGAGGTGCTAGCTGTGCTGTGCTGTGCTGGGATGCCAGGGTTGGCAGGGGTTCAGAGTAGCAAGGGGGGGCTTCACCACTGAGGCTGTTGTAATTCTGCACACAACATGCCTTGCCACGATGTTCGATATGATGCTGGGAAACACTCTTTAACTATGCAGAAAGAGTCTGGTCCTGGACCCACATGTCAGGAATACAGGGAGGAATCACAACCCAGTGTATCAAAAGGAAGGATTCTGTAAACTCCTGGATTATTAGTTTTTCAGTCTTCACTGTGTTTCTATTCATTAGAGGAGATTATCCAAGGTTAGATTCTGCATTTGAATAATGCAGGGACAGATTTTGTGGCCGGAAGCCTTGAGATGTTCTTTTCTAATTTGAACAATCATGTTTAAGCAGGCTTTGGTTACCCACAGTCTATGTGAAGAGCAAAAGAGGTTTATCTGCATTCATATGCAGATATCTGTAAATGTGTTTTGTGTACAGAAATGTTTGACTCGTGTGATAAAAGAAACTTCTCCGATTGTAAACAGTGTGCGGTGAGTCTTGACCCAAAAACTAACTCTCTGCAATGGAAGCCCCAAAATATTGTACGTTCCCCCAGAGGCTTATTCGTTGTCTGATGACAGCCATGATTGGTTCAACGGTAAATAATTTGGTATAAGGCTGCTAAACACTAGAGGATTTTCAACTCTTGATGGATTTTTAAACAGACACACACTCGACAATTTGGCCAGAACGTAAGACCACACACTTGTCATTTGTAGGAAACAATTTCACAGTGGCGATTCCAGAG